AGTGCTTTTGAATACTGGGCACCAGTTTTGTAAGCAGATAGCACGATGTTGTGAGTCACTAAATCAGGCCCAACGCCATTGTCTGTCATTTTTTTACAAACTTTAAGAGCCTCTCTCCAATTTCCACTTGATCCACATGCATTGATCAAGTTATTATATGTTGACCTACTTGGTGGAATCTGCAATTGGATACAAATGTCAGATACATCTCTTTTAGTTTTAGAACAATCAATACTTGAATAATGGAAATATCAACGTTTATGCAACCAGTGAAAAAGAGAAATTCTCACAACTAAACTTGGTCCATCTCCCAAGAACCGTACATCATAATTTTTTATATATGCACTTCATTTCCTTTCTCCATTGATTAATCATTAAGTTCCAAGCAGTAGATTTTCTCTACAATTCTCATACGTCCGGCTTCTTATGTGATGAATCAATAAGAATTCACTTGTATCAATTATCAAATACAAAACAACCTAATAATTGAGCAATCAAATCAATGGAAATGATTATGGGAAATCATCGTCCCTCTTTCAAAGCTCCATGAAACCCAAATAACATGACATCTCGTGATGCAATTGGTACAACCGAAGAGAAACAATTGAAGTCAATTTGATGAACTGTTAAACATCAATATACATATTTGTTTTTACTAGATTAGACCCCCAATGCATGGTTTGGTTTAGGAATAAATAGATCCAAATGGTTTTCAGATCCTGGTTAAAAGGTGTTCGAAAGTGTGAAGTTGTCAAAAGTTAGGCTGCTTCAACTTTAAGTCAGAAGTACTCAAAATTATAACAAATAGATACCAACAATTTTTTTAAGAAAAAAAAGTGAACATTATAAGTACTTAAAAGAAGGAAGCTCACATCAGACCCACAAAGATTGATTAGGAAGGAAAAATGTAAATACACACAGCTGCTTGGAGCATGTCTTCCATGATATTCATTGCCCAGCGCCATTGACCAGCTCGCCCATGTGCGTTGATGAGAGCATTGTAGGTTTCAACATCGGGCTTGCACCTGGCAAAAATAATAAACTAATAAAATGACATGAAGGGAAAGGAAAGCTGGCACTGCCATCAGAATGGAGAGAAGCAATCTCCTGGTAAGAGTTTCTCTAACTAAATTACAAAAAAGTATTGGCGTCTTTGGTGCTTTGTTATGATTAATGAAGATGCCAATATATGCTCTTCTTCGTTTGAACAGATGAAGAAAAGAAAGCAAACATATCTACAGATGTAACATACGATAAACCAGGTGAATTGGCCAGCTAAAAAAACTATGAAGTCAATAACCTCGCGTACATAATCTTATATATAACTCAATTCGGAGGATTTTAAAGAACTAGATGTCATACATTAGGGGCCAAAGGACCAATATAACATTTAACATCCTATATTATTTGATTAAGGGAACTGCAACTTTAATTATCCAAGAGACAGTAAAATCAAAGGGTGAGTGAAAAATCTTGAAAGAAGCATTATATGAAAAAATGCAATGATCAACACATTTAATGAAACAGCCATACCTCCACTTTTGCATCTCAAAAAACAAGCCACGTGCCTGATCAATACGATTATGTCTAGCATGCATTCTGATCATCATATTGTAAATATCATATCGTGCACAATAATTTTTCTGATTCTTCATCCAATTGAAAACTTGAATGCTAAGCTCAATAGAACCCATTTCAGTTATTTCCTGCACCAGCAAAACTTAAGTTGATTTATGCATGCCTTACAATAAATAACAGGATAACTACTGGTTAACTACAGCTGTTACATTGCCGTATAAGCAATTATTAGGCAACCTAAACATAAAGATGATATAATACACGGACTGGCTAATAGCCCTCTTGAAATTTAAGAAAATGGTGGCCTAACTTTCTTACACTGGAAAATTTCAACAGCCTAATAACAGAAAGGCCGGGTTCACTTCCAAAGAAATACAGATATTACGAGAAGCAGGCAAGAAATAGTTAACTACGTGAGACTTTTAGAATTCAGATGAAGATTTCATCTACCACAGCATACTTATATGGTAGACAAATGATAGACCAGTTTCCTCATTGCAAAAACAAACTCCAAAAGAGTATGACCCAAGCTCCAATAACATCATTAATTCCAAGCCGTGCTTAAAAGATGGTACTTTCCCATCATTAACATCTTAGCATCCCTAGCTCACTAAAAATCCTAAACCTACAATTCACATATAAAATGGCAAGTAATATATTCCCATACGATCAGCCACCCGGCTAAATCAACCTACAGTGATGGAAAAGGATAAAATAATCGATCTTTAAAACTTGTGCCTTGATTTCCCAATCACACTTTCCTACTCTTCTTCTCCCCAAGAATCAAATCCATGCCTCATATTTTTTTTGTACACAGGCAATTAACATAGTCAAAATACTAACTTCAGATCAAATTAAATTAACATAGAAACAATAGAAGTATAAAACCGAGGTACTCCAGTAAGGCAGTAATTGCAAAATTACCTTTATTAGAACCGGGAAGTTTTTCCTAGCGAACCGTCCGGCCCAGCGGTTGAGAACACCCTCGACGTCATCCCAGTGGTTGAGCTCAAGTATTCTCTCTACCACTTCGGATATGGTCCAGTCCTTCTGGAACCGGTCGCCTTCGACCCGCAAACGGTGCCGTTTCGGCAAGTCCGACTTCCGGAGCCCGGAGATTTGCGTTGACACCTCACGAATTCCTTTGTCGTAGTCCACGTGGACCTGCTTTCTCTCACTGAAAGCGTCCGAATTGCTAGGCTTCTTGCAGCGAATTTTTAATATTCTGGAGGACCGGGGCCTGATGAAGTATGAGTGGTGGTGGTGGTGTTTGAGGTTATGGCTGTGGACGACAGTAGCCATAATTGAGCTGATACTGAGGAATGGAGAAATAAAACCTCAACTCTATGGATGGAGGGGGATGAGGTTTTGGTTGGACAGCACGAGGGAAATTTGCAGCTGCAATCCTTAAACTTTACTATTTGAAGCATCTTGGATCCCCATTTAAATGTGAGCGAGAATTATATATTTGAGAGAAATTTGCACCTTATATAGCATGTTTTCTAAAATTACGTTTTATTTACTATATCCTACAGTACTTCAATATATTTACACCTTCGTACATTATATTTTAATTATATGAAAATGATATCATCAAAGTTTTTATTTAGAGTAATATTATTCATCCCCAATGAAGTTACAAACACTGTTTAAGTGGCGTTAATGTGGTATTAAATTATCAACAAATATATATTATGAACATTTAATATAGTTACAATGTGGTGTTAATATAATTTGGAAAATTTTGTGCAATTGGCCTCCAGCCTTTAAAATCAGACTTTTCAATCCTCATTATTAAGTCTATGTTTGGTAGCAATTAAAATTTAGATTTTAATATAAGTCAAAGTCAATAAATATTTTAACAGAATTTAGCCGAATTATAACAAGAAGTTCGAGATTAATTTGCTTATTTTAAAGTTGAAGTGTGACTCTTTACTGTACTAAGTGCTTGTTTGGGAGGGATTTTTGGGGGTTAAAATACATTCATTCCTCGATAATAAGTTTGGCGAACATTTTTTAGCCACATTATTTTGGAAGAATGTATTTTGGAATAGTAGATTGATGGAGAATATGTGGTTGAAAAAGAAAGAAAAATTATTGATATGATGGAAAATATTATTTTATTGAAGAATGTGTGGTTGAAAATGAGAATTGATTTACTGTAGAATTTTGAGAATCCCCCCAAACAGGGCCTAAAGACAAGGAATAAAACGATCTAGGACCCAAAAAAAGAGCAAAGTAAAAGTACTTGTGTATAAAATTGACTCATTTTCCAGCTTATTTCTAGTCATCATATGATGTTTGGACCTTCTTTCTGTAATGCATTTAAATTTATCAAGATTGACTTGAAGAGAGGTGAATTGAGCCCCTGTTTGACACACATTATTTTTTTCATTTTCATTTTTCTACTCATTTTCAACCACACATTTTTTAATAAAAATTATAAAATAATATTTTCCATCACCTCAATAACTTTTCCTTCATTTTTAACCACATATTTCCCATCCCATCACTTCAAAAAAATGTATTCTCTCATTTTAATGTATACCAAACAGGCTCTGAGTACTAAAATCTTCTCCTTAAGATCAATGACGAGGGTAAAATTGTTCAGCGAGACCTAAGTGCTACTGAAATGGAACATTGGGATTGCAAATGTTATGATTGGAGACCAAGATGCAACACAAGTCAAAGCTTGGAGGCTATTTTCCATTTTCAGAAATTTTTGGTTCAATTTGCTGCTCTTCAATCAAACTGAAACAAGTCTGATGTTAAAAGAAAAAATAATCATAATAAACTATTCATTTTGACAATTTTTCCATTTTTTGTTTAGCGGGAGTCAAACTATTTCTCATGTTTCATCCTATTTGTTATTTTTTAAATGTTATTTAAAATTAAATAAATAAAAAATAAGAAGTGGGACGGGTACAAGGTGAAACCATAATCTTCTCCTACCCTGGTTTCCAAGCAGGTGAACATTTTACCCCTATTCATATTCTCACTTCTAGACTTTTAGCACAATTTAGAGGTGAAAAATGACATTTGTTAAGATTTTCAATTTACATTTTGCCCTTCGTTCTTTTCTTTTTGTTTATTTAAAAAGGAGGGTAAAATCGTCATTTTACAACTTTAATGGAGGGAATGGAGTGCAAGTACAATTTGTGCATTTTTTCTTGATTTGAGGATGAAATATGCTAAATTAAAAGAATATGGAAGATTTGTATAAAATAGAATTCACGGGCCCAGTTCGAAAGGAATGAAACTTTAGGGTCAAAGTGCCAAATTGATATTAAATCATTGGTGGCCAGCACGACGTCGCTTCTCCTGCAATTGCTCCGCCCTACCTGACTTGCAGGTTCTGCTCCGAAGTTGAAGCAATCGAGACTCGAAAAGAAAACGAAAAAATATTTATAATATAGCAATAAATGTCAACTTCGAATTTGGATTCGTCTTCATCAGTCACTGAATCTGTGGACATTCCCCGTTTCCATCACACCCCATTTTACTGGTAAGAACTTTCTCTTGATTCATAAAAATATAAAATAATTATATACATAATTATATATAGAACTCTCTCTATATACATAATTATATATGCAAGTTTATGTATATAAAAATGTACTTTTTGAGTAATTACTTGATTTATGTTTTTCAAATATTTGTATATTCGTCGGTTCTAGACGCTGTTTCTTGTTGTGGATCATTCTTGGATTGATTGGTTCATTTGCATTTCTATCTTTTAGGGCTCATACCTTGATTATGAACGTGAGTGTTATGTCTAATGTCTTATTTTTCCTTTTTGATGAACTTTGTAGTTTAACTTTTACTATTATCTGGAGAATTCACTTTTAGAACTTAGCTAAGATAATTTCATTAGTATTAAAATATTCGGTGCTTTTCTTTTTGTGTTTATATGGATAGTGAGGAGAACGTATACTTGCTATGTAAGAAGCTAGCTGCGGATGGAATAGCAAGATCGGATGGTTCTGACCTCTTTGTTATTTTCATTTCCAATGAAAATAAGCAGGCATGTAATCAAGTTATTCTTAATCACTATCTTGGGCTGAATATTAGGCAATATAAGATCATAAAATTACCATTTCATTGAACCATGTGCATAAGATTAAAATGTTTTAAGGTTCTATATCAGATTCCATTGTGGCATCAGAAGGCTAGCCATAGAGCGGATGGGGTTATTTTGTGGGATTACCATGCTATCTGCATACAGGTAAGAATTCAACTGATTTAACCATGATGATGGAACTATCTGGTCAAGAAATTTGCATTATATGGCAAATCGATATAAGTTGTATATCTTCTTCTTTACCATAAAAATCCATACTAAAGAATTTTTGTCTCGACGGATAATTAGTTTTGGAGAGGTTAGAAGTTCATACTTGCTTACATAATGAAAACTCACTATTATGTTTCGTAATGACTGTAACAGAAAAGAAAAGATAGCAACCTGCCTCATCTAGTGTGGGATTTAGATTCAAAACTTCCCTTTCCGTCTCCACTATCCACATACGTTTCTGAAACTATTCGGCCTTCATTTCAGCTGTTTTCGGAGTTTCAGAGGTATGACTAGTTGGATATCCTTCATTTTTCTGGTGACACTATGTTATTGTAGGTGGGTAATAACGCACAAGCACACCCATCAGATGACAAAATTCCTTTTGATAAACTCAAAATGAAATATACTTGTGGAGTGTGAATCAAAACCCAGTGACAATTTAAACAGTTACTTTTTTGTTTGACAAAACGCTTAATATTGTAATTTCAGGTTCTTTCGGATTGTGCACGCACCCATATTCCTTCGATCTTTTGCATCTGATAGAAGACACATGAAAGATACTGCAGGAAACTGGCTTCATCCCCCGCCTTCATATGAAGTCATTGTTGCTGAAGGTAAATGCTGCAAAATAGCTGTTTAGAAGTTCGTGCTGTGAACTTCAGACCCCTACATTTTTTCGATTCTAGGTTAGTTCTCATGTTAGATAGCATCGTAAGATCATGATATGTCTTTAGAACTCAAAAACAAAGTTCATTCATATTTTATTCACATCTTTAGTTTAAAGTTTGTAAATGAAGGCTATAATATTTCAGGGCACATGGAAGATAGGTAACTTGACCAATATTGCAGTACATGTCTCCTTTTATCTATTTACCTCAAGGTTAGCACAACATAAGGGTGGAATAAATTGAATCAGTTTCCCGAATGTATTATCCTTGTAAAATTTAATTCTGAGGTCAATACTGGAATTTCTTTTATTAACATTTCCTGCATGACATAAGAACATAGAGAATATATTTTCGACAATGCCTATGGCTATCGCCTAGTTTTCTGCTAAAAACAAAAAAGATCACATGGCTAGTCCTAAATAGTTTTCTTTGAAGTAAATATGTAACTTTTAAGCCAAATAAGTTTTTTTTATTGGTAAAAGTTGGAAATAAGTAAGCTGCTTATTTTGACACAAAGGCGGGAGCTACTTTCACCTTATTTCAAACATGTTTGGAAACAAAAAGTTATTCAAATGTAACTTTTGCTTTTCATTAAGCTTAGCAAAACATGCCCATTGCCGATGGTCTCCCTTCTCGTCTCCTTTCTACCTCTACGTTCTTCTATTTCCTTTTCTTTCCTTGGTCCTTTTCACTTTCCTGTTTCCTTGCTGCCCTGCGCAACAACACTTCCACCAATACCACCCTTGTGGAGTTCAATGCTCCATCACCATCATCGCATGGGCACAAAATTAAGATGAAAATCAAAGTTCCTAGTGGAAAATTTACATCATTATGTTTTAAAGATAGGGATGAAATCCTAATTGTATTAGCTGAAAAGAGTTCCTTCGAGTTCATTGCAGAGCTTGTCAAATTTTCAGGTAAGGTACATTTCATTTTCCAGCTCTAACGGGGTATGATATAGATGCAATTACAATACTAATAGAATGCATTGTGTAATGCAGTTGTGTATTTTAAGGTTTTCTGAGGCAGTTTCCGGGACCCCTTTTCTTTCCTTTCTTCTTTTTCAATACATAAAAACTTGACTAAAAGGAAAGGGGACATCTGCATAACAAGGAGGATACAAACTTTATTTCCTTTATCTGTTTCTGATACCTGTCGTTTTTTCCCTTGCTACATATCCTGATAGCAGTATTTTGCTTAGACAGATGGAGCTGTGCACAACTTGAATGAATACATGGAAATGACCTCTGCTGATGTTGTCAAAAGCATCGGAGAAGATACTAAGGATAACGTATATGCCCAGAGACTCGGTGTCCTGGTGCGTGAAAGCCAGTTGGAGGAAATCTTTTCTCTGATTTCCTGAACATCTGTGATAATCGCATGAAGTTTCATGGAAACATAAGCATCTGGCATTGTAGCCTCATCGCATGAAAATAATAGTCGGTATCTTATGGTAAATTTGGGAGTGCATCTATATTCCTTGTCTGGTGAGAGGTATACACCTTAGTGTTCATGGGGGAATTTGTATGATGACATGGACTTGCGTACTTGGCTAAGAATGAGTGCGGTTCAATCTTCATATGACGAGATTGTGATAGTTTTGATTTTGATACTTGTCTATTCCAATGAATCTTGAAATTCAAAATGCTTTGTCTAACATTAAATTCATCATTCGTTTGTTCAAGAAAAAAAGATCCACAGGTGTATATGATTGCTTAAACCCAAGGCATGACTATATCTGAAAAAAATATATATATATCACATAAAATTACATCTCAAAAATCGTACACCCTTTTGTCCAGCTTCTTGCTACCATTCTAAATGAACGCCCAAATCATATCACATAAGTATGTTGAAATTTATTCTCAATCTTCTTATCCTGCATACAGCTGCCATTCATCGCCTTCCTTATGTACAATTCATGCAGCCTAATACTTCTGCTTCATCATGTTGAAAATGATGGACGCAAACGAAAGGCGCAGATTTAGGTTCCATCCTCACTGTCTGACAACAAACAATCTTGTATTTCCTCCCTGGAGAGGGAAAAAGAAAGGAACACATTGAAGCATACGGTAGCTTGAAAATTATTAGTAAATAAGCTTCTGCATAAAAACATGTTTTTAACTAAAACTGGAAATAGTAGGTTTACTTATTCTTAAAGCTACTTTCAAAATAAGTAACTTATTCAAATATGTTAATATTAAGCTAACAAGCTTAGCTGGCGTCAATACATAGAAACAAGGCCAGATAAAGACTCTAACCTTAGCCACTTCTGTGTGCCACAGCTGCTATTCTTTGCTAGAGATACAACAATTGCCCTCGGTTAGTCAATCTACTCTCCAGCAAACTGAGAACTCGTTCTCTCATTATATATCATACACCGACTCAAATCAAATCTTTTCCAATGGTAGGAGCTGTTGCATCTGGTAATGGATCAGCACTAGCAAAGATAGGTTGCACTGTAAGTTTATTCCTGCTCCTCTCTCAAAAATAACCCTTGTTGATATAGAATTTATATTTGTTGAAATGATGAACAAGTCTCTTGTTATTGCAAAAAAAAATATTTCATCCCTATGCAAAACTAATTTAAAAATTTAATGCCCCATTCATGTTTGAATTATGTGACTGAACTAGCAAAGGTCCAATAACTTATTCTGTACTATATGATTGATCAGTAAATCTTGAATTTTTTATGATTGTATGACTGAAGTCTGATACAGAAAGATTTTCTCTCTCTTATTTTTCAGCTTTTAATTTTGTTATTTGAGCGGACGAGATTATCCATTGATTTAGATAGTAGTGAAGTTCCTAGTGACATAATATTCTAATGTTCTTCATCCTGATTATTCAAATAGCTAATTTCTGAGCTCTAATACTTGCTCTAAGTAAGGTACAAACGAGTATTTTGCTTTAGCAAGGCATTTCTTATCTATTCACGCCCTCAAATGGTTCATTTTCTGGTTTGTCTCTGACTAATGTACCAATCAAAGTGTTTATGTACTTATGGAGAAGCTTAATATTTTCCAGGGCAAATTCCAGTAGTTTCTCTCAATGACAATTGTTACGGAC